AATTTGTATTTAAAGACTAGATTTTCTATATAAGAGGTAATATTATCGCTTATTAAAAATTACTTAGTAAAATTATAAAGTGAAATATGCACCAAAATTTTACTGTTTCAAGAAATATTTTCATTCGTTCAAAAAATATTTATTTTTAACAATTTTATAGCCATTCTAAAAAAATATATATATATTTTCTCCATATGAAATATATGGAAAACCCTAAACCCGATTTCAAAATAAAAATATGGGTCCCTTATTTTCTAAATTCTTCTGTGCTGTGGAGTGGCTGAAAAAAAAAAATTGTCGGACCACGCTAATATAGTACACTCATGCATGCATAAATAAGTGAGTACGTAAGTACTTTGCCATCAACAGCAACGTGCACAATTGCACTTTTCCCGGCTTACCTTTGTTTGTGTTCTTATATTTTATTTATTTTTTCCATACTGCCACACATGTAAAATTCCTAGTCAACAGCAGCTGTAAGCTATCAGGCATTGAACAGCGTATCTACATACATACTTTGTTTGGCTTCCTTGTCAGTGTACGAGCAAATGAACATATGTAGGTATGTAGGCATGTCCTGAGCACAGAATTTGCATGCATCTAACATCAACAGGATTCGCTTACTTACGCTTGAATGCTGATCATTTCATTGCAGCTTCTCAAAATGGCCTGGTTGGATGTTGAAGATTCTTGCTGGCATAACTGGCAAGCCGTGCCTGATGTAGCACCCTATTACATACATATGTACGTACATATTTATTATTTCCAGCTACACCTCAATAACTCTTGCATTGCTCTTGTTTCCAAGGCACCTTTTGCCGTGAAAAACATACCTACATATATCAATTGCATTCTGCTGCAGCGCAATCCATTTAACACTGGTTATTGATGGGTGATACGATTGTTATCCGTGAAAAGATGGATAGTTTGAGGTCGTGTGGAGAATTGTGAAGTACAACGCACTTCAGTGACTTAAAAATGTACTTCATATTTCAACGATTTAAAATTGAATAAAATGCCGATGTTTTATGTCTTAAATAAGCATTTTTAATACAAGGTAAATAAATTTTACAAGTAATATAGTACAGATCATAGTTCTGGGTGACTCAATCACGACGGTAAGATTAAGCTGGCTAGTAATTGCGGAACTCCATAGACAACGTTAAAGTCCATAACCTTACCAGAAACACTACGACCGTATTACACAGGTAATCTATGAGCGAGCAATGTTAAAGAGTATCGCAGTACTCTTGGCAAATTAGATTACCTTGCTACATACGTATATCTTATTTTAGCAGCGGATTCCAGAATCGATAGAAAGCCTGTTCTCAGGAGAATAATGCACAAGTCTGTAGAGTCAGAGACAATTTAAAGCAGCTATGTTCAACAACAACAGGGTCCTTTAAGTAGTATACCAAAAAGTTGCCTAGCATCCACCATCTTAAGAGTTAGTTGAAACTTGAAGAGTTTGATATCATATATTCTGCGCGCAATTCTAGACAACTACTTTGCTAGTCGGACGGTGTTCAGGTGTTAGGCCAGGTGAGTTTAATGTAGCAGTCAATCTAGAAAACCAACTCACTTAGACCCTGCAGGACCATTGTGATACCACTCGGAAACACATAAACCTCATTGTCCTTATTTCAAGGAACCATTTGAAAGCTTGTATTAAGTGTAGGATTTCTTTTATTCCTACAACGGATATTTCCATGAGCATTGCTTCCGTCCATTGCTTACCTAAAAAGCCTGCTCTGCGCTTAGCTAAAGCTGGACAACTGCAGATGAAGTGTTCGACTGTTTATTCTTATTCCTCATCTCTGCAACTTCTAAAAAATTCATGGAGGAATACTCCTAATCTCGAAGAGTAGCTACCAAATAGCCTACGACCATTATATGGCCATATGAGGTTGACTTTGCTGCTAACAGGCCTTCCTGTATAACCTTTCATCTTAGCATTAAGAGCTTGCAGGGATATCAGAACCTCCTCTGACAGTGCAGTTTAGAGCGTCTTCCGTCCATCCGCGAGTCCGTTGTACTTCTCATTACCCGTAACAGCGGTTAGTCCCGAAATCCAGAACAAATGTACATTCGAGCTCCGCCCAAAACACTGCCGCTCCTATGCCCCTGTCCTTATTCCAGAAATCTATGTAAATATTAACCGAGTCAGCCATCCTCATCACCTCACGCCTGCCTTGAACATCTGTATTGACTCCGAAACTTGCCTCAAATCCAGATTCTGGACCATATAGTCCGTATCGACTGCTGTAAGCAAGTTCTCTTTCCATTTTATTTAGTATCTTATTGACCACCTGTGACCGTAGCAGTGGCAGAAGTAGGCTAGCCATGTTGTGTGCCTATGTTGACCGGCTTATGGGCTCATGCTTATCCAACTGAACCGAAATATGTCTACAGTTTAAAATGCTGCTTATCCAGTTTGGAAGAGCAGGGTGAAGCCATATTGTTGTCATTAGGTCTTAGGTCTCCCGGCTATATCCAGGAGGACCATTAACGCGAATTCTCCATTCCCCAGAGTCGTCTCTATTTATCTAAGGAAATTGTGTAGTGCGGGGTCTACAGATCTTCCCTTGGTTTAAGTATGTTTTCTATTTGAAAACATACCTCCCACTATGTTCCAGCCGAGCCTAAGAGACAAAAGGAGGTATTAAGGCGAAGTTTTGGATTTTCCTGAATTTGATAAACCTTTTTATATATTAAAACTAGTAGCGGACTCTACGACATCTTCCGACGATCGACATGGTTTGAGTCTGTTAATAATGTCCATGGGATGGCTTCTGGTTTCATTTTAGAAGTCAAGGACGAGTAGAACCTTGTAGGTCATTTAGAGGTTGAAATAGGAACTTCCGAGAAAAAGATTTCAAATAAAAGTCACGTACTTTTATGCGCAGAATCCAAATCTGTGGTGCACATCTTATTAAAAAAAAGAAATATTTTCTATTACAACTAGATGTGTTAGTTTAGGTATGCTGGCCAGCCACTAAGTAGCTTCGCTGAGACCATTAAAGTCCATAGCGTAACAAGATAAACTACGACCTCTTTAGATCGTACCTTGACGGCGGCTCCCAGATTAGGTAGAAAACCTGCTCCCAGTAGACTAGTCCGCAGTCTGCTAAGGGCAGGACACTCGCAGAGGAAATGCTCCACTATCTCCTCCTGCGTTCTGCATACCCTGCATATCTTATTGTTTGTCAGAACCAATTTATAGCCGAGCGATGCCAGCAAGAAATACCCAGTTAGAACAATTACCAGTAGCCTAGCGTCCACCCTCTTGAGGGAAAGGAGAAACTTCGTGAGCTTCATGTCATACTCTCTGCACATAACTCTGGACAACTTGCAGCCTTGCGTTTCGTTCCACGCTTTCTGCGCCATACGCTTGGAGGTAAATCGGCACCTCTTCTATCGGCATGGTTTCCGACAGAGCACCCTCTTTGACCAGCCTGTCGGCCTCTTCGTTGCCCGCTATGCCGGTGTCTAAACTGCGCCACACTTCTAGAGGAAGTGCTGTGTGATAGTAGTGCCTTTATTGCAGCCTGGCTGTATATATAAGAATTCACCCGCTTGTTATCTGGAGTACTGTTCAGTAGCTCCGCCACTCTCCTTATGGCAACAGTTTGGCGGCTTATAAGATGTGCCTTTCTGTATAGACATTCAGCGAGCCAGCACTCCTCATGCACTCCCGCCAGTCTTCCACCTCTATGTTGGCTTCAAAGTTCATCTCAAAGTGCAGATCCGGGATCACACTATACTACTGTGACTGCAAGGCCTGCGAACAAACTGACCTGTAGCTATACTATTGGCCGATAGGTCCGCCGGCAAGAGATGTAACAATGTATAGCATGCCGCCGTCAGTGTAGTCCTAAGTGCATCTGTCATGCCAATCATTGATGGCCTATATACACTTCCTAAACTCTTAACAAATGTTTTCTTCTCCAATGCTGTTCACCAAACCCGCACCCCAAGGAACAGTATCGGCCTGACTATCGCCGTGAAGATCCAGTGAGAAAGAGAAGGCGACCAGAGCCAGGTGCAGCCCAGCATCTTTTTGCATGCACAGAATGCCGCGGAAGCCTTCTTCGCCTTCTCTCCCACATTTAGGTGCCACGGCAGCTTACTATCGAGCATTATTTCGAGGTAATTGGTGGTTTGCTTAAGCTGGAGGGTCACATCATCCAGCTTAGGCTTGGCCCAGTACGGAACCTTGTATTTCCTGGTGAAGATTACTAGATCTGTTATTTCTGCGTTGATTCTAAGCCACACTTCGATTGCCCAAAGATGTATTACCCGTAGTGCTTGGCTCATAAATGAGCTGAGCGTGGACAGACAGTTTCCGGTTACTGTGACAGAGATATCATCCGCATATGCAGTAAGTTCGGCAGGTCCTCCCTCCATTTTCTTCAGTATTTATCCTGTTGGCCACCAGTGACCAAAGTAGCGGTGATAATACACCCCCTTGCGGCATACCCCTGTTAACTGGTTTGGTGGTCTCAGGTCTACCCCACTGCGCCGAGGCATTTCTGCAGCTCGACATACTGCTTATCCAGTTCGAAATTACGGGATGAACCCCTATCGTCGTCATTCCGTCCAAGATGACTTGCGTTGGGACATTGTTGAATGCCCGCGTTATGTCCAAGAAGGCACCCAACATGGCTTCCCCATTCTCCAGGGCTGGAATGGAGAAAATAAATTTACTTACCGTATGAGTATATTCCTTATGGAAATAAGAACACAATTTCTTCTTCGTTTCGTATATCTAATATTTTTCGATAGCTTTTTATTCATTTAATATCAAGTTTAATCGTAATATGATGCGTTTATTTTAATTTTTGGCATACTATTTAAAAGAAAAAAAAAAAAAAAACAAATCGTCTTCGTTCTAATATCGCTGACAACTATCACAGAAAAATACTTCTCGTATATTAAATCAGCAATTCTACTATTAAACGCAAATTATAAACACCCTGTGCGATTTGAATTCATTTTTTCAATTACTTTAATTTTTTAAGCTTTCACTACGAGTATTTAGCTAATACATATATGTATTTTTTTTACCGAACGCATACATACTAACATGCATGCATGTGTATAAGTATTTAGTAATAATAATGCTATTGTGATAGAAAATAATCGTTATTAATTATTTATCAGTAAAAAGCTTTGATTGCCGCCAAAGCGGGATGCTGAAAACGCTCACGCAATATGGACGAACCCTTCATCTGTGAATTACCGTTCATTGTGCCGTTAGTGTCGTGACTAATTGAACGACCGTAACCGATGAGCGAGTGCTTCTTGAAAGGAGTTCGTTGTGGCGATTGATTGACGCTCTCCGGGTAGGGATTCTTATTCTGATCGTAGAGGGCATTGTGACTGTAGCGATTAGCTTCGGACTTCAGCGAACCCCAGCGATTCTCTTCGTTGCGCATTTGTAGAATGCGTTCCTGCACGCTCAGATGAGAGCTATGCAGCGCATTCACCTGATTCATATTATTCGTAAGATGAGTTATTTGCTTGGCACGAAAACTGCCATTGAGTAAATTGCCATGTGATGAACGGACCACGGATTCGTTGATGGCTTCGCGTACAGGCGTGCGTGTGATAATCTCACGATAACTGGATGGACGTTGATTTGTGGACGGTGGTGTATCGAGGCCGCTATCATGGGCTGAGTGATCTAAGTCGGTTACAGGAATCTTTGATGAGCTCTTTAAGTTGTTGTAATTGTTATTGGTGGGCAGCATTGGTTGTACTACAGGGAGAGAAAAAGAGTTAGAGAGAGCGGGAAAGAGAGGGGTGAAATTTAAGTACATTCTTTAAATTTATTCGCTCGTCACTTACCCGAATGCCGCATGTCGGTTGGTGCTCTTGGCTTGCGATACAACCATTCACCATCCACCACATTGCCATTCTCCAAATCGTTGTTGTCATTGTTGACCTTATGGGCGGCACCGCTGCCGTTGTAGGCCTGTGGACGTCGCAGCTCAACTTTCTCATCATCATCGGCCTCCTCGTCGACCACTTGATTTGATGTGAAATCTTTGTTAATGAAAATGCGTCGTGGTGAATCGTAGGCTCCGCCAACAGCTGGGCAATTGTTGAATGAGTTATTCTGCGAGGCGTAACCATTCGAATAACGGCTATGATTAGCATTCTCACTTTGACGCGAATAGGGTATCTTTTGTGGTGTGGAATGATTGGTTGAATAGCCAGAGATGCGTTGATGATGATCGTTGTTAAGTGCGCTCAAGTCAGGCACAGAGTCGGAGAAAAGGAATGGATTGGTGCCGTTGCCGCCAAAACCACAGCCAGTAGCAATTTTATTGCGTCCACCCATGCCGCTACCATTTGTCATGAGCCAATCTTCCAGAGCGCTAGAATAGCTGCTGCCCAAACCGAAGTGTTGTGATTCGAGCGCCGCGTGTGAGACTGGTGCGGCGAGGGAGGCGCGCGAACGTGGACCTTGTGCGATCTTGAGAGCATGGCGGCGTTGCTTCGAGAAGAGAGTGCATTCCTGTGAGGCGAAGAGAGGGAGTGAAAAAATTTATAGACATTTATTTATTTATTTATTTATTTAGAAATTATATAACAATTTTCTTAGAGACTATTTACAAATTAACAAAGAACAATATACTAATAACTAGTTAAATGAATCCATTCAATACCAACTTAAACTTATCTTTCGGCAAAGAGAAATCAATGGCTATATATTTGGGAACATATTATACTCCTTCAGGGCCCTAGCTATAGGAGAATTAGATGCGTAAATTGTTCTAACTGGATCTAATACAAACGTGCCATGGTTCCGCAGGTTTCTATAGGGGATATTAAGACGAATAAGCTCGAGTAAATATGGCGAGTCAATCGCTCCAAGTATAATGTCAAAAATAAATGTCAATGAGAGAATAGTTCTTCTACTGTTTAAAGACTTCAAGTTAATTAAGAGACATCTCGAATTAGGTAAAGTTTCACGTTCGTACTTCTAACCAAAAGAAGGGAATAAGGGATATACCAGCATCGAAGTTTGATTCGTTTTTAAAGAACTCATCTACAGAACTCAGATAGATGAAAATCTCCCACAGAATCATGATCCGGTGAAACTAGATCAAGAACACCTCATCAACAGCGACAGGTTTTTCTGTCCCCATTCATCATGAATAATGGGAAATTTATTAGAATAATCTTGCCGAAACAAATCCCAAATTAATTCAGTGTTAGAAGTTCATTCTCAGAAGTTCTAGGCGATAAGCAGAGACTCAGCTTGGCTAATGCGAAAAAAACAAGTTTGGTTAAATTTCCAGATCAACTGATCAAAGGAATTTGTCTTCCAGTTTACAGTGATTTGTAATACTTTCAGGAAAGTAGTCGAAATTTCTCGTAAGCTTCAATATTAAGTCAGAGGCCACCGCGTCTGTCACATTTCACCGTATGCCCGAAGTTACGTTCAGCTGGATTCATGCAGAGCCATGGCNAATCAAAGGAATTTGTCTTCCAGTTTACAGTGATTTGTAATACTTTCAGGAAAGTAGTCGAAATTTTTCGTAAGCTTCAATATTAAGTCAGAGGCCACCGCGTCTGTCACATTTCACCGTATGCCCGAAGTTACGTTCAGCTGGATTCATGCAGAGCCATGGCTGGAAATTGACGAGCGCAACTGTAATTATAATTCAGCCGACAAATTCATATCGAATAAAAGGTAATTGTGTAGCTCATTCAACTGTGCAATTAAAAGATTTCTACCAGCATGACAAAACAAGAGGGCAGCACTTCAGAGCCTGTCTCATCGTCCGCCGGCGAGCCCGAATGCAACGTTCAAAATTTCCGCGAGACTTGATGCCGCTTGGCATCTATAATGTAGAATAGACTGAAGTGTACGTCGATGCGGAAGTACATAATTACTTACATTTCGTGCAAAGGGTGGCCCGTCTTGGGACAGCGGAGTGCTCCGGACAACTCCTACCTTAGCGCCAAATGATATGCTCAGTGTCACACCTGTTAACATTGCTCACAAGCTCCGGGTTTTCTTTCAACCCAGCGCATGGGCACTCGATAATTCTCAAAAGCTTCGTCTTCCTTCTGTAAGAAATGGATTGGATTGTTACGCGGATGGCACCAAACGGACCTTTCGCTAATGGTACGATCGAAACTGGGCGGGGAATGCCTTAGCTCTCTCTCAACCCCCTCGGAATATTTCCAAATCAAGCTTATTTGTATCAAAGGATACAGTGAAATCACGGAAAATTGCAAGTCTGATGAACTGATGAACTAGCTAGGCAAAGAACGCAGGAGGACATCACCTCGGACAGGGAGGGCATATGAGTTCCGTTGGAAACCTGCGGCCTGCTTCTGGGCAGATGGGCTCATAGTTGGCTCAGCGAGCGCTGAGCGGAAACCCCCGGAAAGCAAAGTTCCATGTACCTTCCCGCCGGTTGTTGGCCGCAGGCGGTCAAGGGAGCTTCTGCAGCTTGCTAAGCGTCAACTCTCGATTCTTACAGGTGTACTGACTGGACATTGTCCTTTAGGAAACCACGCGTTGCGACTTTTTATCGTCACGGATTCTTACTGCCGCAGCTGTTTGGAACACGAGGTGAAATCATCTCAGCACTTCATTCACAGCTGCCTGTTATTGGGTAGATTAAAGTTTAAGAACCTCGGTGCGCATTTCATCACCTCTCGCAAAGCTCTCCGGAGTAGACATCAGCTGCCAGCCGAACTTTGTTTTGAGCACCCAACGCTTCTCTTAGTTTAACACAGAGCACCTGTAGTTACCGTTCAGAAAATTTGTTAAATGTTAGTCGCCTCGTGGGGTCTGCCACAATAACCTAATCTTCTTGGTTCCCGCGGCCCACTGTTGCCAATAGCAACAAGAAAGCTGACAACTCGACAAGGAAAGCGCTGTTTTCGAAAACACCTTTTTATATAGAATATGTGTGCCGAGTGTCTTTAGTCTCATTCGACTGCCGCTTTTAAGCCGGGGTCCTCGCAGTTTCGGCAGAAACGATTGAAGGATAAGTCAATCCTTTCGGAACGCTTTGATTTTTTAGGCGTCTTCTTTGNCGCTGTTTGGAACACGAGGTGAAATCATCTCAGCACTTCATTCACAGCTGCCTGTTATTGGGTAGATTAAGGTTTAAGCACCTCAGTGCGCATGTTATCACCTCTCGCAAAGCTCTCCGGAGTAGACATCAGCTGCCAGCCGAACTTTGTTTTGAGCACCCAACGCTTCTCTTAGTTTAACACAGAGCACCTGTAGTTACCGTTCAGAAAATTTGTTAAATGTTAGTCGCCTCGTGGGGTCTGCCACAATAACCTAATCTTCTTGGTTCCCGCGGCCCACTGTTGCCAATAGCAACAAGAAAGCTGACAACTCGACAAGGAAAGCGCTGTTTTCGAAAACACCTTTTTATATAGAATATGTGTGCCGAGTGTCTTTAGTCTCATTCGACTGCCGCTTTTAAGCCGGGGTCCTCGC